TCGTACATAACGAGCGTCAAATGTTGGGTGACTATAGTCACCGTTCGTACATAGCGAGCGTCAAATGTTGGGTGACTATAGTCACCGCTCGTACAGAGCGAGCGTTGGGCGTTGGGTGACTATAGTCACCGCTCGGGCCGAAAGGGTTAATGAATAAACTTTGCAATTAGCTTTGTGTAGTAGCTCAAATGCCAATCTCAAGATACTTGCCCGCTCTTCACTATTCAATGATCTAACCAAAAAATAACCAATTGGGATTTTCCAATTTTCGTTCATCGAAACTGCCATTAAAACTAATGCATTTTTTGCTGTAATAGGGTTATCATTATCAGAGTAAGCAGAATCTGAATTTTGTACTGTCCCGAAGCTTATGCCTCCATGAAATTCTTTTTTATCATAAATTATTTCTTCTTTTATTGACATTTCATCCAGAACCAAATTAACTATACCGCTCTTCTCTGCACATCGCAATTCAATAGCTTTAAAAGATTCATCTGTAAACCCAGAAGATCCATCCACTACTCTGTACCAAGATTTTATARTTGATACAGATGGTAAATTGTTATTGAACTTTTCTCGAACGTATCTGTAAGCCTTAGGCGAATAAAAATGTAAAGATAATGCAAAAGAACGGACTTGCGGTGTGTATYCTSTTCCATCTTTAACCTTCATATTTGCAATATTTGTTAAATCTTCTGGCATCATACTCTACATAGAAAAAAATATTATGAAGAAAATTATCGATCTAAAAATTTGACATTTTTTTTTTCATTTCGCCATCTTTCCATTTAAAATAAAACAAACTTAATTTGTAAATAGTGATAAGCGAAATATTTAATATTAGTTAAAATTTTTATACCGAAATYCGCTGAGAAAAGAAAAATAAAGTAAATATGTACAATTGCTACAAATATTTGATGATAAATACCTTATCATAAAACATCAATAAACTAAATTATTAGKTAAATTCGTGATCCATAACATTTGTGTAAAATATTTACAATTTTATAATTATACAATTTATATTAGTTAGAATATACTATACCATTAGAGCATCACCACTCTCATCAGTTAACATACGGTTTTCCTTAAGATGATTTATTAAATCTTGCAAAGATGAAATTTTTTTCTCGAGGTTCCTCGTTTGCCTCTGTAGCTGCTTTATTTTATCCGATTTTTTTTTATCAGTCTCTTTTATTAAAGAAAGGGTTCTTTTACTCCTTTTAGGCGTCGCAAAATCTGATATTGAAATTTCACTAACATGACRAGGCTCGTAAAATTTACGCTTTCGAAATTGATTTGGGGAATCAATTTCATGTGGAACTTTAAATAAGAATAAAACAGTATTAATTAGAAAAATATTTGAAAAATATTAACAATAAAATATAATATTTATTCTCACCAGTATTTTCGTCTTCCCTGATAGGATTTGATTTTGCATTTTCTATAAATTCATTTAAATCAGATTGGTTACAAGAGGCTCCTGGAATTAAAATATTTAACAATATTAAAAAATTAAATTTTTCCATTAAACTTACCAAAATTAACCCTTTCCTTACGGCGGTCCGCTCCGCTGGAGTGACGCCACTGAACGGGTCACCGCGCCGCGAAGTGTGCACTTTGCTCGTCAGTAGTCTTCGATATTCGGACTAACGTTTTTCAACGCCACTTTATGATTGACTTGTATGTACACTTTTTTARGAGTTACATAACAACTGTTTCATCGTATTATAGGAAAAACATKAAAATGAGTATATTGTATGAATATTAAGTTATTTACATATTTACAAATTTTGCTATTATATTATTATAAGTAAAAATACAATTTGGGGTGCTTAGACATTAAATTATAACTTTTAGTAATGTAATTGAGAATGATAAATCCTAAAACAAGGGTCGACGCAGAGACCTACATTACAATTTTGGCATTCGTATCTAGACTCGCGTCTTTTATCGTTTGCGCTGCAGACAACGCACCTTCTCTTTCGGTTTTTTCCAGCTGGTACATAGACTGAAGGAAAATGTCGCTCTATTAATCGTAATGGATTATTATTGGCTGTTCGCTGATGATAATTAGTTGTCTTATGATATTTTTCCAGTAGTTCCYGGATCAATTCTAACTGAAACTTGGCCATAGAAATGGCTTCTTGGGTTTTATGTTTATACAGACAATACGCATTCCACACGCATATGTCTAATAAATGGAAAAAGAATTTGCGGTACCATTTTAAGGATTTGCGCGTTGAACTGACAGTACTGATTACCATATCTGCTTTATCGACGGCACCCATAGAATCATTGTAATCTGATACACAGAGAGGTTTTTGAGTAGTTTTTTTTCCGCCATGCCTAGAAACCGTTGTAAATTCTGATGTATGCATGGTAGACAGCATGTATACATCCTTTTTGTCTGCCCACTTTAYAACTAGTAAATTTTTGGATGACCGAAAAGATGCCTCTCCTTTTCTTAGTCTATCATGAATCTTCGGCATTCCTTTGCGTCTTTTGCTTACAGTTCCGCATGCATTTGTGTAGTTGTTATATAATAAATTGAACAAGGCTGGACTGGAATACCAGTTGTCTACAAACAGGGTATGGCCTTTTCCTAAGTAGGGCTTCAAAAGTGTTTCTACTATTGCTCCCGACTTCCCAATTTCCTTATTTTCGCTATGGACTTCGGTCGATGATCCGGCATACACAATAATATCTTGCACAAACCCTGTTCGGCAGTCACTAAGTATAAACGATTTAATGCCGAATCTACTTCTCTTCGAAGGAATATATTGTTTAAAAGATAATCGCCCTTTATACAAAAGCAAACTCTCGTCAATACATAATTTTTGATAGGGATAGAATGATTCGCTAAATGCTTTTCGGAGCATATCAATGATGTTCCTTATTTTATATATCCGATCATTGGTGGCTCTAACATCATGGCTGAAATGTAGCATCTCTAACAGTTTCAAATATCGATCTCTAGCYATAWTTTCACCGAAGACATCGCTACGCAGAAGTATGTCTTTACTCCAATATTCGACCAAGGATAATTTCTTATTACGTGTCATAAGAAATGAAAGAGCGAAAAAACAGTACAATTCGGATACTGTTGTTCCGTTTACATCCTTCATATTGTTGTTTTCTTTTTTTGTCCAATAATCATTCGTTTCGTTTGCAATGTATTGTACGAACTCTTCTGAGACGAAAAGTTCAAAATAATCAATGATTTTTGCCGATCTGCTGATATTTGGTATAATCCCTGCATGTTTTGCCGTAAACGGATGTATTTTAGGAACGAAAGTTTTTGAAGTCCATGTGTCGCAGTGGTCGTCATTATCTTCGTCATCCTTTTCTATTTCTGAGTGTGAGGTATCACATATAGTCCTTTTTTTTCTGTGTACAATGAAATTATTTTCGTTTTCATTTTCGGAATCGGACTCTGTATCAGTCAATCCATTGAAAAATAGATTTCTCTTYGAATTCCACCGTGACATTCTAACAAGGGCGCAAAAAACATTATATAAAACAAATTTTTAACAAAGCTTCAAACAAAATGTTCAAGTATGATCAAATGTTTATCAAATGTTTCTAACCTGAAAATTAACCTCAAAACTGTAAAATTAGACACTAATCTTTCCAATTTCTCTCGCTTTCTTTCAATTACTTATAACGGTTCAAGAGCGATTTTGTACTATAATCCTGGTTTCATATAGTCGCGTCTTGTATCGTACAAATATTCCAGTATCCAGTAGAAAAAAACAAAAGCTTCTTTCGTATGCAGGATATATTTCTATTAGGATTTAATCCAATATGGGTCGATAGAATCAAGAGATACTCTATCGGTACAGTACATTTCTTTTTACCAGCGTGAGCCGGCACAGGTCGTCGTGCGGCCGCCGCCTATAGGCGGCACCCGTACACACAGGTCGTCGCGCGGCCGCCGCCTATAGGC